ATGATGAGTGTGTCCTGGCTGGCCCAGCACAAGCCTAGGCTTGAAACCTCTTCTTCCAGCACATCCTCGGGGCTTCACCTTGCCAGGACCAGGGATGCTTGGGACACTGTGGTCATCCTGGCTCTGCTGGCCAGCTCAGCATCAATGGGGGCTTGGTGGAAACTTGGCTGGCAGGGAAATCAAGGGCTACTTTTCTCTGTCTCACTCAATGGACAGGGAGGAGGAATTAGAAATTGTGGGGATTTTCCCCCATCTGTTTTTATCCTCTAGTATTTAAGCTCCTGAGTTACGGTGGCAGTGGAGGGAAGCCTATGCTAGAGTTTTCCTGAAGGTTTTGTAATGGGCTGGGACTTTATGAGTTGGGACTAACTGGTAATGGGTGCTGCATGTGACACCATCCTTAACTCCCAGGGAGTCCAGTGATCATTTCACACTATGATGTTTTCCAGACGAGCACACATAAACAGCTGGTCTCCAGCAGCTTTTGCTTACACAGGTAAATGTTGGGTTTTTGCTGCAGATTTGTGTAGCAAGAGTCAGAACAGCAAGTGTATTCTTTGGGAGCTGCTATACTGTGCAGTGTGAGACAGGATTTTTGTTTTGTTCTAATTACCTATGTGGGAGTGCAAAATTGTCAAAAGAGGTCGATACCCATAGGTCTCACTTTTTATTGTCATGTATGAAACATCACCAGAGTAATAACAGCTTTTTTCTGTTCTTTCAATAGGAAATCTGGCAAGACGGCAGCAAACCCCACTGTGTTGGTGTTACTGGTAACTGTCTGCTTTTACTGGAGAAATTCAAAACTTCTGCTGCTTCTTAAGCATTTCATGCTCTTGCTTGCCTGTAGTACTGCCATGCCACTGTATGTTCCCGAACTGAGCCAATAGAAATGGCAGAGGTATAAGTGAAAAGATATTTTTCTCAAGGACTTACAATTCAGTAATCTGTTGATAGGCTTTTTTAGTATTGTTCCCTTTTATGGGAGGTCCTGACAGTAAAGATCTGATAGTGATTTCCCATTGCTTTCCTCTCACTCTGTTAAATTGAGTGGTTTCACCTCTCTGCTCTGCAGTGACAGTGATGCTTCTTCCTTCTGACTCTTGTAATAATAATATTTTATAAAGATTTCATTTTAGTACGCCCGTGAATATGCCCGTAGCTGAGCTTTTTCTCTGCAGAGAGCCATTCCTTTTCTCATGGTTTACATTGTATCTTGATTAGGTTTTGCTTTGTTTTTCCTCCTTTGTAGCAGACTTTCCATTTCCTTTCCTCAGATGTTCTTCAGCTGTATCACCAGAACAAGGCAGAGGTCCATCTTCCCCTGTTGCCCCATCTCTACCACTGTGCTGTTGGACATCTGCTGGTAGTAATTATAAACCTGTACAATTTCTTTTGATGCAAAGTTTTGCCAGTGACAGAAAATTCAGCACATCCAACTACAACAATGGCCACATGCATGGGTGACAGCAGGCCACTGTTTGCTCTGTGTCCTGATGTATCCTTTGAAAACAGCAAGGCTTTGGCACCAGTACATGTTTCCAGGCTAGAGCTGGCTTCAGTCTGGTCAGCAGAACCCTCTGACATGTCTGTTCCCAGTCACCCATCTTGATGTGCCCATAGGTCTAATCCACTACAACTGGAGCCTAGAGCAGGAAGAGCTGATCAATGACCAGCTTGCTCCACAATGCTACATCATGGGACTCTGCTCCCACTCTGCTCCTTAAATGCCAGCAAGAGGCAAGTTTGTGTCTAAAAACCTGACCAGGATAGCTGAAACAGGCACTTGGAAATTATTACACCCCAAACTTGAGACTGTCTTCAACGCTTCTGGAATAGGTCTCTCCAACTTTCAGATTCGCTCCCCAGAAGGATAACATCTGCTCCTGCCTGAAGAGATTTTTGGATGCAAAAAGCTGTGTTTATTGTTGCAAGTGAAATGCCTCAAAGCAGTGGTATGCTATTATTTGCAAACATTTTTGGGGATTCCTGGCTAGCCTTCACATTCCAAGAATTCAATCTCATCTCCACAGATCTTGTATTTGCCAGTGATACCACTCAGCTATTTAATGAACTATTTGTGGTCAAAAACTAGTTGATAAAAGTCCAAGTTTTACCAGCTGGCCTCAAAATCGAGCCAGCATAATTGCAGACCAATGTTGTGATAACAGCTCAGGATAAGGATCTCTTCTTTCTGCATGAGATAGGAGCCCTTGACAATAACAACAATCCTTGGTATAATCCTTGCTCTCTATTAACCACAAAGCCCATGTGGCTGTAAACTCACTTAAGATGCAAAACATAACATCTGCCATCTACATGAGTAGTCCAGCATTGAGTCCTGCTATATTTTGTCTCTTTAATACTTACTGATAACCCTACCTTTCCAGCTACTTTGCAGCCATCTGGAAGATCATGAAAAGGTATTTGATTTCGCTTTATCCCATGAGACAAAGCTATCCAGTTCAGCCTATATGTGTTGAGTGAAATGATAGGCAGTTTAAGAGCTGTGGAATAGTTAGCTTGCTTGCTTTGTGGCTGCATGATGCCCCTTTTTAGCACAGAGTGCAGGACCTTGGCATTCAGCAATACAAGGGGCTCAGGAATGGCAGTGCTGCAGGGGATTGAAGAACTCGGGGGCAGCAGGGGTCAAGGAGATGGCTGTTTGCACTGGGATGCAAGGGGGAGACAAGGTCTCTGCAAGGTCCCTGCTCATACAGACTCAGACCAGAACTTGGAGGGGGATGTCATATCATTCATCTCATCTTAAGAGAGTGCTGTCACTCTGTGCTTGCAGCTGAGGTCTGGAGCCAAAGCTTGGTCCTTGGAGCCATGCAGGAGGACCCTCTGGCAAGGGCAGGGCACTCAAGCCACAGTCCAGTGCTTCACATAGTCCATGGCAGCAAGGGCAAACAAGCAGATGAAGGACAGATGGACACAGCAGCTGCCATGCAGGATCAGGTCTACTGCCCTGACACACTAGAAAGAAATCAGAACCATTGCCTTTATGGCTGTCACAACATACTCTGGTTGTCACGATTCATCTCCCACCTTTTGCACAAAAAAAAGGTAATTTTCTCCTATTGGAACTTTTAAATTGCAATTTGAAACTTCATGGTATGGTGAGACATATTAGGAGAAATAATATTTCCTTTTCTTTTTCCATACAGGCTCAATTGCAAAGTAGAGCAAAAGTGAAAAACAAATGGCCTCAGAGGAATGTGTCACACATGCAGGAGAAGTGAAGATTGCACCAGTGCAGAGGGATATGAGATGGAGAGAGACTTGAGGGTGCTCAGCACCTTTCCACATCACTGCACTGTCTCACATTGCTACGTTTAACTAATGCAGATTCAACCATGTAATTGTGTTCTAATTTCTCGGTTGTATTAAACATACTTCTAAAGGAAAATAGCCCAAAGGTAAAACCCATCCAGTGTGGTCCTTTGCCACATGTCTAATTGTAATGGAATTATTCACATACCTAAATAATTAAATTATATTTATTGTATACTTAGAACATGAAATTTAGAAGAAATACTGAGTCACAATCTGCTGGATGGGGTGGGGATGGGGTGCCTTCAGACTGCCTTTAACCATCTGCCTCTATTATCAGTGGAATGAAGAAGAGACATTTTTAGAGCAATTCATCCCATCCAAAATCAGCCTCTAAAATGCTTTTTAAATGTAAAATATTTTCTCTGTGGAAGATTCAATGATATCCATTTTTCAGAATAATGCCATTACCTGCGCTGTAGACCAGAGGGGAACACAAAGGCTCACTGTGCAGCCTTGACAGGCCAGGTGCAAGCAGTACCACACAAGCTTCCCATGGAAGTGGCCTCAGATGCTTACATTTCCATCCCTACACCTCGAGCTTGGTAGAATTATCAGCATTTCTTGATTACTTTTTCTTGCCTTTTGATACTTTAAGATTTGCAAAGGGTGCTCATACTTTTTGTGAGTGGAGCATGACGGAAACCATTTCATCAAAGGTCAACATGTCTAACCATTAATGAGACTACAGGAGATTTCTACAGCTACTTCAAATTCATAATCACTCATTTTAAGGCCAAGTGGGGTCATTAAGTTATCAAGCCTTGTCTCATGTACGACACAGGCTGCAGCTTTTTCTGTGTTCTTAAGTAGGATAGGGATTTTCACACTGACAACTGTGTAAGGTTTTATTCCTTATGTTCTTTAATCCTCCATGATTTTTTCCACTCTGCAGCCTTTCTCTTTTCCATTCCTCT